ATGCTAATGGATGGAATTTCTAATGTATGGCTGGAACAACAAGTCGGTGATGATATTGCGACGTCTTATTTGAGAACTGTAGACATGGTTTGCCACGCTGGACCTTGTGAAGATTATGTCTGTTCTTTGTTTAAGACTAATTGTACACATTCATGTTGCAAATATTTCTTCGGTTTCTGTTCTCAAGGGTATAGTAATGCAGAAATGGCTGAATTTTACAAATTGTAGTACTTCTTGTGAGCAAGCATTCAGTTCAAAAGCTGCCTAACATGCTGGTAACTTGCTAAATTAGGCATATAATATTATAATTTTAGTTTCATCTGAGAACTTCTCTTTAAGACAATGGTAGTGAACATTTGTTTCCGACAATGATAGTGGATATCGTATATTTTGCTCTCTAAAAATGAACTATTGTGGTGTTGTTCACCTATCAATGTGCCATGTTTTCTATCTAAGAATATGCCACATTTGCTAAATAAACCAACTCATTAAAGTGATGGACAACTAAATACTTTTTATAGAGCTAAAATAATATATAGGCAACCAAACAACCTTCCCTTTCAAAAAAAGCCAAGCAAACATCTGGGTAACTTCCTGGCGCAGCGGAGCGCCCTTGCCCACTAGTACATATTGTGAACCCTCAACTCATACAATTTTGAAGAAAACATGAACTGGATATATGATGCATTTTCTTCAAAGTATGGTATATTTAGTTGGAAAGAATGACATTTTGTCAAGGAAGAAACTGCCTTAAATCCCTTATGATAAGCATACGGTTGATCTGGGTGCAACTCATATGCACCAGAATACTTGGCTATAGCATGTTTTGTTAGATCCATTCTTAAGAAAATGCATTATTCTTGAAAGGCGACACGCTCACTGCAGCTTGACCACGTCATCCCTGCCAATGCCGATTAGCTCAGCCTTGGTGGTGGCGGGCTCCTGGACCACCTCAAGCAGGCGCCTGCTGCGGCGGCCGACATGTGAGGTATGCTCTTTGGTACTAACTCTTCATTCTCGACATCTGGCTGTGTCTGTTCCTCATATTGTCTCCAAATACCGGTGCGAAAAGGCTTTCTTCTAGATCTGCTCATTATGGTTCTCCAAATACAATACATTCAATGATATTGTAGTTTTTGTGGGCTTGTTCTTTATAAGAAAATAATTGTACACATAACACTATAGTTAGAAGCAGGTCTACGAAGGCATGGCTTCAAAATTCCATATACATGTTTTGTTCCTTTTCCTTTCCATATCTATGGTTTTCATACTAATTTATGTTTTCCCCTCAAGGGAGGACATGTGTATTTGAGAGAGGGTTATGGAAAAGAGGGGGCTGGACTAAGAGGAAGGAGTGGAATCACATGATGCACATTGCATTTCTGTCTGTGCAATCCAGTTATATACTGATAAGGCTTTATACAATAATAAGCTCCCTATCTGTTGAACGTCACAATTAGTACAGAGGCACAAGTCATTTCTGACAATTGAAGATCAAACAAACAATACTGCAGAATTATGCCAATATAAGTTTTTGATGTACATTGAGCTTGTCAGTTTTACTGTCACCTTTAATTTTGGAGACATGGCTAACTATTTTCTCCACTATTTGGCATCTTCCCATGTTCATCTTGACAGTCTGGTTTTCTATGATCTTGTTTTCTATTTGCAAGGGCAAATTATATTTCAATGATACAAATGGCTGATGTTAGTTTTGGTATATATGTGGTCAAGAAGGTTGTCAAGGAGTGATGGCCTCAGATTTGTTATGGGGCAGTTTTTTTAATAGAGCGCTTCTTGCGCACAAGCACTGGAACCATCGGTCTATGACATACATGATTCTCTATAACTTCTACCAGAATGCTTTCTTTGTGTTAATGCTCTTCTGGTATGTATTCCCTCATCTGTGTGTTTCTCATATGATGTAAGCTCAGTATATCTGTGTTACCTTTGTTACCTGTCACCTACAATTTGACTATCCAAATGTATGAATATACGGAAGCATCATCCCGCACTCCTTTTTGGCCTTTTTGGACCTCTTGTAATGTACACTGGTCTAATTAAGTTCTTAATGAATTGATTTAGGCACACTACATATTCTGTAACTCTTGTGCTGATAGATTAGAGTACTGCTTTCTATTCCATTATCTGCACATCAGTTCCCACAATAGTGGTTGATATTCTAGAGGACTTACTCATAATAGTCATGATACCCTTCTTTATTGTCTGAGACTATTGAGGCAAAGCTTCAAAATGAGGGCTACAACCTGACACTCTTCTGAAACATAATGGTAGATACCTTGTAACAAAGCCTTGTCCTTTCCTATGTACATTTCTTCACATATAATATCAGTTCTGTTTCATGTAGCAATCTTCTTTGTTAGTAATGTTCCATGTTTCTGTTTACATGTACGTTCATTAATTTTCCCGTTTGAACCCCCTTAATTAGTAAGGTGAGCTCACAAGCTTGGGTCCTAAACCACAAGAGCTCGAGAAAGTCGTCATACATTCCTTCTGCAGGACACTAGCAACCTCGGATACAAGTACCCGTGGTGGTTTCTCTGTTCTTAGGAGACATGCTGAAGACTGTCTTCCTCGGACGGTTAGCATTGCAAGCATTTTTTGACTCCACTTGATGTCTACAAAATTTCTGGCTTATTGAATGATATGTTTACTTGCAAGACATGTCGCAGAATCCACATAGAACCGGGTGGCATTTTCCTCACATTTCATGGTGATTTTAATTTGAGCATTCAACTTGAATACCCTTTAAACTTTCCGTCGTTGTGCTCTTATTGTTTTGGTGTAGCACTTCATGTCACAACCGAATGTTGAATTCTTACCACTGCAGAAACTTCAACATATACTGATTCATTAGATAATGAGTATGTGTGAGCTCTCTTTGTCTTTCTGGTTGAATGTTGAATTCTTAGCACTGCAGAAACTTGCAACATATACTGATTCATTAGATAATGAGTATGTGTGAACTCTCTCTGTCTTTCCGGTTCTACCTCATGCCATCAGTGTTTTGTGTTTGAGATGCCCTAATCTCCCTTGTATTTAAGCGTCATTTATTTAGCTCTTCCGAAATTTGTCGCCAAAGTAAGTGGAATGGGGCTTTCAACCTGGCACCGCCTAGATTTCTCTCAAGAGGCGCCACCAGGTGGCGCCCCAACCCCTAGTGATATCCAAGGCGGAGCGTGCAGCGAGGCAGTGGGAGAAGGCGCGGGCCACATCCTCCACTAACTAGTGATTTCGGTCTTTTGGGGCTCTAATACCAATGGAGAGCGGTCAGACCAGCCACAATGGAGAGTAACATACGGTAGTAACATACACATATTCCTAGACTATATTACTACCTTCATAGTGGGTAGTAACATAAGTGTGGTAACATGCAAACCTTTATTTATTATGCTATAGACTCATATTGCATTGGAACATGTGATGTTACAGTAACTATCTAAGTTACTACAGCTCCCTCTCTCCTCATTAACTCATTACCACATAAGCAAATTTGCTGAGTTGGACTCGATGTTACTGCTGAAGTTACTCCCATTGTGGCTAGTCTCACTGCCAACGAAATACTAGTGACGGGCCCAATAAACACCCTTTTGGGCTCTGATATTAATGAAGAGCGGCCACTGCTAATGAAGTAGTAGTAATGAAATACTAGTGACGGTCCCAATGTACACTCCGATCACTAGTGCTAGTGTTTTAACAATTGACAAGCCTAATGACCGATTTTTAAGTGGCTAAACTGGTAACCCTCCCAAGGGGTTTTGCAGTAGTGATTTTATACAAAAAAAAAAATCGAGAGCGGCAAAATAAGACGAGTAGAGTTAGTGGCACCTCGTACTAGAATTGCAATTTACTGAACCTATCGTTTTAGTTCCCAAGTATCTCAAACTCCAACTTTGAACTCGAGGAATCTCAGTATCCATGGAGATCCTCGCACACACCCAGGGCGATGTTTTGTTCCATACCTGGCGTTGTCAAATAGACAGTCCTTCAGCGTCAACCTCAACTTCGCTGCCCATTCGACCTCTCTTCGATATGCACTATACTTTATCATTTCTTATTTTTCTTAGAATCGTTGCTGGATATTAATTTAATTGCAAATACAGGTAGATTGTTTTACTTTAACTAGGTGCATGCATGGTTAAGGATTTAAGACAAATATACATTAGCATGATTATGTGTTCAGAAAGGTGTATATGTAGGGAGGGTGTGGTAAATGTTTGGAGTAGTAGAACTATCTGTGTCTAAGTAATAGTCTAGGCCTTCCAAATTTATGTGTTCTAATTTTTTTTGGTATCCATAATATGAATTTTGGACCATTTAAAAAGTATGACTATGTGAGTGAACGATTACAAAAAACTTTATATTGTAAAACATTTTTCATGTGGTACCACTTATGCATAACCAACAAAAATGGTTTTGATTATATTAATTAGTCGTCTAAGTGCAGATCCTGGCTTCTGGGCTGGAGATTTTCATAAATTTGAAAACCGCAAATTGAAGTTTCTAAAAGTTCTGAAATTTTGTCAACACATATGTACACATGTTAACATGCAATACATATCTGCAAATTTGCATGTAGGCATATTTTCATCTGTGTACTACAAAAAAAAAGATGAACATGTGTGGACCTGTATGAAAAATGGTACATTTATATGTACCTGTATAAAAAAACACATTCAAACGTGTGGAGTTGTAAAGTTTAGTGATATAAAACATCTTATATTAGTTTATAGAGGGAGTAGTTCTTAGCTGAAAAGTCTCTAGAAAGATATTTGCAAAGCATCATAACAAGGTGTCCATGCTTTAGTTGTGTCTTCCAGAGAATTTTGAGCTAAGGATTAGACGATTTTGAACCTTTGTTTTCTGTCAACCCGCCTCATTATTAGCAATATATATCAGTTACATTTAACATTATTTCAGTTTGTGCAGTTGTCATGCATCTAAATGCTTCAGACAAGTTCATCTTCGCTCACAAAAAATCATGGACAAAAAGTTGTGCAGATCGATCGAGGTCGAACAGACAACGAAGTAGAGGCCGGAACAGCGAAGAACTGCTCACCTGACAAAGATCATGGCAAGGAACACATCACCCACATACATACATATACATATATACACATATTCAAAGACCTGCTGCACGTAGGATCCGAGGCATATATGCACCAGATCCGAGGCATACATCAGTTGGAACCCCTGCAGAAAACACACAGAGCAGATCATATCACTTACGTAGATATATATCACCGCTTGTTAATTCCATGCAAGCTACTCAGCTGCGTGCGAAAGGATCATCAGTTACGTACGTACCTTTGTTAACCCCGCCGTGAGTCCCCACCACCACGGCGGCGGCGGCGACGACCAACATATGCTATATACAAAACTGTGCACGCAACAGTGTGTGCACCACAAACAACGACGAGGACCAAGATATATTACTAAAATGCTATGTGCTATGTGTGTGTGCAGCAACTTGATATGCATATGGGGCATTTTATAGGCGGCAGAGTCAGAAGGCAGAGGCAGACGTCACGGCCCTACACCGATGCCACGCGCCGAGCTGAGTCCATGACAAAAGACTATCTAGGTTGGTAGAAGGGTCGCCGGGTAGTTGGCCAGGGTAGCTAGCTCGCTTTCCCTTCAAAAGAAGAGAGAGAGAGAGAGAGAGAGAGAGAGAGAGAGAGAAAGAGAGAGAGAAAGCTAGGGTAGCTAGCAGATGGAGCTTTGCTCGGTGTCCGGTGTGTGTGTGTGGTGTGTGTGTTGCGTTGTCGCGTTGGTGAGAAGTTTTGACTTGTGGGTGCAGCTAGCAAGCCCGGAACGCACGTGGCCCCGTCGCCTCGGCATGCAGCTGCATGCACCAACCTCTCTCGCGCTCGATCATCTCATGGTCGTCGTGGCAACGCAACATCCCTTCGTGCAAGTGCAACTCAGCTACCACAATCATGTTTCAAGTTAGGGACTGAATAACCAGCCCATGCTTCCAAGTTTGCGTGCATCCGGATGGTAAAGCCACCGGTTGTTTTCTCACTGGTCGGCAAGCGGGTGTTCTTCCGCGACGTCGCTGCTAATTGTGTACTATATACAAATAGTATAAAAAAACGTTTGCGTTACAGAGGGAGTGCTTAGGCCCAGCCGAATGGACGTGGTTTTTGTCTTTTTTTGTCTGTTTTGGTCGGCTAAGCAGATGAGTGTGTCCGGTTTTGACCGTGGGAGCATAGGTGCGCCCAACGCGGCTGATGCATTTGGTGCGTGCTCACCCGTTTAGCCACAAAAATAATAGAAAGAAAAATTTAAGATAAAAACTTAAGACTTTACAATAACTAAACACCGGCGAAAGTCCACTTACAATAATTAAAACTTCAAAAATTTAGATAAAAACTAAAAAAAATCCCACAGTTGCATTCTGCCTAGCCGTTGGGCGGCGGCGTTGTCCTCGCCGGAGCAGGCCAGGGTCAACGAAATCCGGCACCTCCGTCGATGGGAAGGCACTCTGGTAGGCTGCTAGGGTCGTAGTCTGCGGGGACGCATCGGTGCTGTTGCGCATGCCCCGCCCGCCGCTGTGCCGCCTCCTCCCTGCGATCCCACTGCATCAGGCATTCCGCCTCCGCCCGCTCCACTGCCAGCGTGCGGCCCGCCCACTGGTACGCGTCGAGCATAGGCACAAGTGGGGCTGGTGGCAGTGGTGACGGTGGGAAGACGTGGTCGACGGCTGTCGACAACCGGAGTGCCTCCTCGAGACCAGACCACCGAGCGAGCTCCTTTTGCTCGGAGTACTCGTTGGTGAACCAGGTCGCCTCCTCCCTCACCACCACCAGCAACACCGGTGAAGCGCGAGCGTCGATCTGG